ATAAAACAAACACTGCAAATGTGACAGCATTTTATTTCATACTCTGTAAACTGGTTGCTAATTTGTCATGGTTATACAAACTTCAGTATATATCTCAATAATTTAGTAATTTATAGGTTCTTCTGAGGGAAAAATGGACAATTATCACAGTAGTCATGTAAAGAGTCAAGGATCCCAATGAAATATTTTCTTCCAATTCCCACTGCAAAAGCATTGTTTTATATAGATTCCCAGACCCTGGTCCAGATTTGGTGGGCCTCAGAAATTATCTGTATGTGTGCTGTTACCTCTTGTGGTTCCTAGATTTGGAGTCCACTGGTCTTAGTTTCAGAGACACGTTACAGCTTTTGCATGTCTACACAATCCCTGTGGTCAAATTGTGCCATGTGCATTTAAACGGTCAGTGGGAAGAGTGGGAACTAGTCAGGTCCTTGTCTGTGTTGCCCAGACAGGAGTCTGCCATCTTCTTTATATGACTTACAAACCCCCTTTCTGGAGCAGAAACAGACAACAGGGAACATGGCTGGTTTTATATAGCCATCTAAGGTCTACATAATAGTAAAGATTTGAAACACAGATGGGGCCATAAAAAGAAGCTGGAACAATAACAGGCTGTACAAGTCCTTTAAGGAATTACAAGACACTTTCTATTGGCTAGAAAGCTCTTGTTTATGTAGTAGAAGTATTAAAATAACAAGCTGCATGTTGTGTTTAAATCAGAAATAAGCCAAATCAGTTCATTCCAAAAAACAGCTGCCTAAAGAAAAGCAAACTGAAGTGTTTCTTCCCACTCTGAACAAAGGAAGCAACAAGAAAAAAAAAAATTCAGTGGTATTTATAACAAGTAAATAACAACAGATTTATTGGAGATACTATAACTATGACTGCAAAAACAGCTTTATAACATCAGGTGATTAAAGACAGTCTAGTTTCTGAAAACAATCTAACAATGCAAGCATACTATTTTATTCACTTATATTAAATGGAATTATTTATATTTAATGGAAAAATTTAGAAAAGGAAGTCTGTCACTGAGGATACAGAACTGAAATCAAATTTAGTCTTATGGAATTTAAAGCCCTTTTTGGTTTTGATTTTCTTCTCAGTTCCAAGTAAGAACAGTACATACAGTACATACCATCAATAAAAAGTATCTCTAAACCTAGGAAGACATTCTTCTATGCTTAATTCTTTGTCTTTCATATTTCTCTTTAATCAAGCTATATAAAATGAGATTTTATTTCACATTATCTCAACTAAAAGGAGACATATATATCTCTATTCTAAACAAGAGCAATTCTACACAACCAGGATGTCTATGGCTAAAAATATCACCTCTTTATATTCCTCCAGAATATTCAGGGTACTAAAGACATAAATGAGTAAGTGTGAGTGCACAGGAAGCCAGCAGATAACAAAAACAGTGCTGGGTAATACACAGTAATCCAACGATGTATATTTCAAAAGAGCTGGGGTTTTGATGAGCTGGGTTGATGGAGAATAGAGAAAAAATAGCAATAAAGACAGGAAAATGGGTTGAGGGAGACAAAAACTAACAATTGAGGTGCTGCAGAGGAAGCACTGCTATTAAGGAACAACTAGGTTTCCATTAGCACAGAGGATGCTGGAAAAAACACAAAGAGACCCTGAATCCAGGGTGCATCTTGAAAGGCCTGAAAGTATGGTAAGAACTGCATAATTAAACTCTGACTGAAGTTAACAGTTGGTGGTTTTGAAAGAGTCCCTGGAGGAAGGTGGATAATCAGTTCAAATTATAGTGCAGAATATTCATCTGAAAGGGCATGGGGACCACTTATCAGCATTTACTCTTGCAGCTCAAGACAGGTTATCAGCCTAGAAAATGGGTGAGGGTTTATTATCTTACCTTGCCTGAGGCAAGATATGTGAAGATCTGTATTCAGATTGCTGGGTTTGAGATGACACAGTATCCTTCCAGAAGGTATTTACTCTTGAAGATCACAAAAATCTTTAAGATGAAAAAGAAAGCCTATTTGAAAGAATCTCAGATGCTATGAGACAGTGATAGGAAAGTATCACAGAATACCTGCTTGGCAACATAGGAAATATCAACAACTCTGCTTGGTGATAATAAATGTTCAAAAAATAAACTCTGATAGTCATATAAGAAGCCAACTGCCTGTTTTCTTAGTTTTGGCCACCAGTAGACATTAGTCACGGGGAGTTTCCATATAGGTAATCAGCGGGTGAGGATGGCTGGCAAGACAAAAGGCATGGGATACTAATTACAAACACCTCCCTTAATTTTAAAAGGACACAAGACAAGGGAAAAATGGTGGGAGGACACTTAGTACTACAGTAATGTAACCCACTGCCACATGTGGGTTACCCTACTCTCATGTCCACCCACTCTTGGGGAAGTGCCTACCAAACAGTCCTATCCCTGAATGCAGCAAACCTTGTTTTGAATAACTATACAAAGAGGGACTAACCTCTAGACCTTGTTTTGAGTAACCATGCAAAGAGGGATTATAACATCCCAAAATTGAATGTAAGCCACTATCCTATCAAAATAGGACAAAACCAAACCTCTTTCACACAATACCCTTTACAACCTTCTGCTTCTTTGTCTCCAGTAACAGCAAGGAAGAAATATATAATTCTTAAAACTAAATTACAAGGTGCAGAGATAAGCCATAAATTGAATTCAGAGAAGACGGATAGCATCTTCCTTATGAAACCATGACCAAATGATTATCCAGATACAATTACCTTTCATTGAGGTGTCTACTCAGGAGAGTCCCAACTGGTTTCCCACTCACATACAGAACTGCTATGGTGGGCAGAGGCACTTTGGTATCATGAAGAAAGCATGGACTTAAAACTCAGATCTGAGTTCAAATCCTGGTTCCAAGCACTAACTACTGAGTTACCTAACCTCAATGAGACTCAATTTTCTTGTACAAATGTTAAAAGAATTGAATGGGATAAGAATAATCACCATGTGCATAAGACAAATGGCATTAGGCTTAAGGATTCACTGTATATGAAGAAAGAGAGGTGACTGCATTTAAGAATGGGCAGATTCTAAGTGTTCCCCATGGGATCTTGAGCTAAGGACTTAGAAGTTTAAAACACTGAAAATGGGTTAAGGCCTTCTCAAAGGGCCGGACATAAAGGCAGAGGAAGCTAGTGAGCGCCTGTAGCACTGACTGCACAGCATCCTCCCATGAAACATTTCCTCAACGATAAAAGGGAGAAGGCAAATAGATCAGAAAGCCTTAGCTCCTTTCCTCACTTCCTGACTCTGAAAGAGTTGTGAAGAGTAGAGTTCCCACTTATGGCCAACATCTTACAACCGGGAGACTGAAAAAAATGAAATCCAATATGCTGAAAATTATGGAATGAAGACTTAAGTTTGATGAATTGTTCAGTTGCCAAACCAAATTTGGGAATGCTTACCTCCAGACTTCCCCATAAGTAAACAATCAATGTTCTTAAGGTTTTAGCTACTAGTTCTTGATATTTTGCTCATTACACCTGAATATGTCCTAAATGCTACCTTAGGTAAAACTTTTCCTGAATCACTCTAAGAGTTTAGAAACACTGCTCTGATGTCCCATAGTTGAGCTATTTTCATTTACTATGTGCCAGCCTTGTCACAAAATACATGAATTATCTCATTGAATCCTCACAACCCTGTGAAGTAGGTAGTTATTCCCTTTTTCAGATAAGTCTAAGGCTCAGTGCAGTTAAGTGACTTGTCCATAATTGACAAGTTAGTGCATGGCAGATCTGGGATCAGAACACATACCTCTGATCCCAAAGTCCGTAATTTAAGATACCAAATTATACATGAGAAGGCAGAGTCTTCCCCTCGTTTTAGATTATGCTGAGTGCATCTTTACAGGTTATGTACCTGCCATTGTTTCAATTTCATAAGGGGTTATTTTTTCTGATTTTGTAGATATATATCGAAGTCTATGAAGTCTCTATTACCTGCAGATCCTTCTACAACCATGGGAGAGGAGAATGTGGTAAATTTCTGTTGTTCTTTTATTTTTTATTTATTTATTTATTTTTTAAAGATTTTATTTATTTATTTGACAGACGGAGATCACAAGTAGGCAGAGAGGCAGGCAGAGAGAGATGAGGAAGCAGGCTCCCTGCTGAGCAGAGAGCCCGATGTGGGGCTCAATCCCAGGACCCTGGGATCATGACCTGAGCCGAAGGCAGAGGCTTTAACCCACTGAGCCACCCAGGCACCCCTTTGTTGTTCTTTTAACCTAAGAGTTTAAAAATGTCAGCTTATTTTAAAACTGCAAAAGACCAACAACTGATGTTTATTATTTAACAAACAGGAAACAGGCTCTTAAAGGAAGTGACTTGCTCATGCTTCCCCCACTACCAAGTGCCATTATTAGGGTGGAATCCCGGGAGTTTAGGGTCCATGTTCTACATGCCTTTCATAACACTGATGAGTGAAAATGAAAATGTACTCACTGTATTTAAAAAATACTATACTTCTTTCCTGAATATAAAAGTAGTATATTCTTGTAGAAAATCTAAAAAGCATAGAAAAGTATAAAGAAAATAGAAATCACCTATAATCCTACCACCCAACGATAATCACTGTTAGTTTTGGTTTGGCATTATTTCATTCATATTTTTCTCCTATAGGTACATGTTTTTTAAAAATTTGGATCAAATTTGTTTTCTCTTTATCTTCTATTTTATACAAATAATTTTCCTCATGGCATTATTCTTTAAAAATGTTTATAACGGCTACAAAACCATCATGTAGATAGACCATCATTCATTTAAACCCCATGCTACTGAAAATCTAGTTCTCTTCCTTCAGTTAAGTATGATGCCAGCATGAATATCCCTCTGATCATCTTTGTCTGCTTCTGGTTACTTTTCCTGTATGGAGTCATAGGAATTTAATTAAGGTTGAGAATAATGAAAAATTGTTTTTCCAAAAAGTAGCAATTAGGCCTACTACCAACAATATATGTTTTTTATGATGTTTCTTTCTCCTCGTTATGTTTTCTCTGGTGTTGAAGAAGCTGTGAGCTGTAACGATAGGCTTTCCCACACTCACTACATTTAAAGGGCTTTTCCTTAGTGTGCGTTCTCAAATGTAGAATAACTTGAGAAGTCTGCCTGAAGGTTTTTCCACATTCGTTACATTTATAAGGTTTCTCTCCAGTGTGAACTCTCTGATGATCAACAAGGTTTCGATTAGAAGTAAAAGCTTTCCCACATTCATTACATTTGTAAGGTTTCTCTCTACGGTGAAGTCTCTGATGTTCACTAAGGGTCTTCCTTAAAATGAAAGCTTTTCCACACTCATCACACTCATAAGGCTTCTCCCCTGTGTGAATTCTCTGATGGTCCATAATCTTTGTATTAGAAACACATGTTTTCCCACACTCCTTACATTTGTAAACTTTTTTTCCTTTGTGCATTCTTTGATGTTGAGTAAGGTTTGAACTACGGCTAAAGGCCTTCCCACACTCGATACAAGTGTAGGGCTTCTCCCCAGTGTGAACTCTATGATGTGAAATAAGACCTGAACTCCGACTAAAGGCTTTCCCACACTCCTTACATTCATAAGTTTTCTCCCCACTATGGATTCCCTGGTGCCGAATAAGGTGAGACTTACCACTGAAGGATTTCCCACATTCACTGCATGTGTAGGGCTTCAGTCCAGTGTGGATTCTCCGATGTACAACAAGGTTGGAGCTATGACTGAAGGCTTTTCCACACTCCTTACACTTATAGGGTTTCTCTCCTGTGTGGATTCTCTCATGTACTGTAAGATTTGCACTCTGACTAAAGGCTTTCCCACACTCAGTACATATATACTGTTTCTTTTCAGCCTGAATTCTCATATTTGTTGCAGGATCCAAGCACTCACTACCATCTTTTTCATATTCATACTCACTCACTTCTGTAAGTGTTTTATTGTCTTTAACTATCTTATGCCTGAAGCTTCTTGTCTTTCTCCTCATTTTCTCTTGCTTGAAGCATCACAATGGCCTGTTGAATCTTCTCTTTCTCTTCAGAAGAGCTTTCTAAATTTTTACTTCCCTGGGAACACCTCTGTGGAGTTCTCGTCAAAGTGTAAGATTCTCACGTTTTAGGAGTGATACTGGAATCAACACCTCCTCAGTTCCACCATCTAACAGAAGAAACAGAAATTGCACATGTCACCTATTCTCTATCCAAAGATCACAAGATGTGGTATACTGCAGAATTTCACATGGTACACCACAGGGTCTCACTTATTCTCTATCCAAAGATCACAAGATGTGGTACATCACAGGGCCTCACAAGGAAGAGGAAATGTTCAAAGACAGGGGGAACTGATGAAAAATAAGATGAAAAAAAAAAAAATGAGGGTAGACCCAGATGCCTAAGTAAATAAAGGCTTATGGAAAGACAAGAGGGGAACCCAAAAAGTCCAGTATCAGGGTAAGCAATAAGTAATATAAAATCCACCCTGTTTCCTCCTGTCTCACATCTACTCCCAGGATTAGAGCCATCAAACTCCTCATCTGGTCCCTAGAAAAAATGAACTGAAAGATCCTTAGCTCAGTAGCTCTCCAAAACAGTTTGGCTTTTAGTTCTTGCTGACCTATTCCCCTAATACCAATGATATAATGGCTGGCACAAAATAGATGCTCAAGAATTGTTTCATAGACCAGCAACTGCAATTGTCTTAGGATATGACTAAGATTTCATCTTTTGCTCTACGTCCAGGTATGAGGCCCTTGTCTACATCTCTGTTCTTAAGCCCTGTCTTAGTAAGGTGTAACACTGTTCTTCAAGTAACAGAGCCTACTGGAGCCTAATCACACCATAACCTACTCTCTAGGGACTACTCTGTAGCTGGATCCAGCTACATATGCTCATTCAGTCTGTCTGCTTCTCACCAAGTTATCCCTCTGATGAACTATCACCTAATCTACTGTGCAAACCAGAGAGGCTGAGTTGGGGAACAGGGCTAGCTAAAGCATGGCAGGGTAAGGTCATGCTTTGATAAGACTTTGCATGATACGAAGTATCTAACTTTGGCAAAAGGGTGAAAGTAGTAGACAGAACAACCAAAAGGGGCTAATACATGAAACCGATGTCAGGAACAAGCAGGAACTTCTCAATGAGTTTGACACAAAATATATAGGTAATATAGGTATATAATATATGTCATATATATATATATTATAGCAAAATGAGAGAACTCTATAACAGTAAATAAATAAACTTACCCACCTGTTCATCCATCTGTTCATTCATACCACAAATAATTATTTCTACTTTTGGGATATATAGGTAACTCTAGCATACCTCAAATCCGGAGGGGATTGGGGTCATAAAAGAAAACAGAAAAATGATTCCATGATACTAACACATAATTAATGTTCCTTTTACTATATTCCTCTTCAAACTTGTCCATACTTAGATTATATATGGTTGCAAGTATACGGTAGATATAATTTTGCATCCTACCATATGTAATTTTCCACATTGCTATTTAATCATCATAAGACCATTTTATGACTATATAATACACTACCAATTGAAGTCATTATAATTTACCCACAATTTTGCTAGCATTCAACATTTTTGTTGCTCCCTGCTGTTTAACCACTTCAATAATGCTATCATGATCACTTTCCACAAAGTTTTCTTCCTACTGAAATATATTCTTAGGATAAAAGTTCCAGAAAGGAGTTATTGGGTCAGAGGGAATGAAATTGTTTTGAAGTAATGCCTACTGCTTTTCAAAAAAGTTTGACCAGTTTCCACTGTCTCACAGCTTTTCAATAAGCTGAGTCACAATTTCTGGAGGAGGAGCATATCTAAGGGTGAGTGCTCAAGACCAGAAAGAAAGGAAGAGAACTTCCAACTGAGGTTAGAGTTCATATTTCAGGAATATAGGTGCCACTGATGCCATACAGGGACACATATATACAAATCTGTGCTCAAAATATAAACAGGAGGCAAAGAAAACAGTGGGGAGGGGTGGATTCTTGCTAGATCCTGAAGTATACTCACAACCAACTGTTGCTACCTTTCCTAATCAAAGAGGTGGAAACTCAGTGAGAAGCCAGGGGCCTGCAGAGCAGAGTGGAACAGTAAGTTAAGCCATTTCCAGAGTTTTCTGAGATAGTTGATGGTTCTTTCTTTTCCATTTGTAATCTTCTCTGAAACTCTTCTTTATACATGTCTTAAAGCAATAATTATTGAGCATTCTACTCTGTACACATTTCTTGTTTGGATTTAGCAGGGAAAATAATAAAAAGTATTATTACAGAAAAGTAGAAAATATTTGTGGTATGAATGAACAGATGGATGAACAGGTGGGTAAGTTTATATATTTATTGTCATAGAGGTCTCTCATTTTGCTAGCAAATTATCTTCTGCTAACGTGTTATATTTTAATTATTTTTATGGTATTTCTTATAAAAAGTTGGGATATGACTTTAGAGGATCCACATAATTACTAGAACAAAATATTTTAGAGATTCAGAATGAGACAATGCCTTGAAGCCAGCCCCAGCATGTCTCATTTCTAGACATGACTGATCTAAATCTTCTCAGCTAACTACTATAGTAACTATTCTGTTGTTAAAAGCTGCTATAGAAAAGATAAGTCTCACGGCTTTCAAGAAAAAGGTGTCTATGGAAACTGTTAATAGCCAGGTATTTACATGGCTCTGTCACAAAGCAATAAATACCATTAATGAATGTAAAAAAATAAATAAATAAAATAAAGCATGGTTACATACTGAATGTTTCCCCTTTCCCCCACCAAAACACACATTGAAGCTCTAACCCCCAATGTGACTATATTTAAAGATGTGACTTTTAAGGATGTAATTAAGGTTAAATGAGATCATAAGGGTTTGGTCTGATAAGATTAGTGTGTCCTTATAAAAAAGACATGAGAGACCTCACTTTTGCTTCCACTCCTGCCTCCTTTCCCCCAAACAAACTAAGGAAGGCCATATGAGCAAAGAACAAGAAGGTGGCCATCTATTAGCCAGGAAGAGCATTCTCGCCAGAAACTGAATTAGGTGGTCACCTTGATCTTGGACTTACAGGCTCCAGAACTGCGAGAAAATGAATTTCTGTTGTTTACACTGTCCAGTCTGTGGGATTTTGTTATAGCAGACTGAGCATACCAATACAAGCATGAAGTATTGAACCTACATTTAAGGAGCTTACAGTGGGGTTAATCATGAAAAATGAGGAGACCAAATTAAGATTTACAAAGTACCCAATCAAGAGGTAAATGGTACTAGGGAAGGGAGCAATTACTGGGGCCCAGAATACTCGGGGAAAGGTGTTTTAAGAAGGCAAACCTTTGGCTGAGTTCCAGAACATGAAGGAATGGTTTCCTCAAAAAGAAGCTTGTGAGGGAGGGGAAGGTAAAAAAAAAAAGAAAAAAAAGAAGGAAAAAAAAAAAAAAGGAAGCTTGCACAGGGCCAGCATACTCAGAAATAAGTGGGTGATTACACTATCACGTAGCTTCATGATGGTGGGAATTTTGTCCATTTTGTTTGCCTTTGTCTTCCCAGCATCTAGCACAGTTCCAAGTACACAGTAGGCACCAAAAGAAAATTTTTTGAATGAAAAGATGGAAGAATTAAGTTGTATGAAGCGATATGAGCCAGAACACTGAAATTATGGGGCACATATGGGTGTAATTCGATGGTCAATGGGTAACAAGTATTAACCATCCTCATTTTCTTTCCCCACTCTATATTCTTTTTTCTACTTTGCTGTTCTCCTCTCTCACTCTCACTTGTCAAGAATACAGTTTCCAGGGGCGCCTGGGTGGCTCAGTGGGTTAAAGCCTCTGCCTTCGGCTCAGGTCATGATCTCAGGGTCCTGGGATCGAGCCCCGCATCGGGCTCTCTGCTCGGCAAGGGAGCCTGCTTCCTCCTCTCTCTGCCTGCCTCTCTGCCTACTTGTGATCTCTGTCAAATAAATAAATAAACTCTTTAAAAAAAAAAAAAAAAAGAATACAGTTTCCAGCATCCTTCCAGCATCATTATTAGTAGTGGCCCCCTTAACTCATGAAAATATTCCAGTCTGGACAATAGATTTCATATCATCGTCCCTAAAAGTGGAATTAGGAAAAGAATGCTTTATGGTATACTATTGTAATATTGACTATACTTCAATTAAACTTGTTTTTTTTTTTTAAAGATTTTATTTATTTAACAGAGAGAGAGAGACCACAAGTTGGCAGACAGGCAGGCAGAGACAGAGGGGGAAGCAGGCTCCCTGCTGAGGAGAGAGTCCGATGTGGGGCTCTATCCCAGAACCCTGAGATCATGACCTGAGCCAAAGGCAGAGGCTTAACCCACTGAGCCACCCAGGTGCCCCTAAACTTGTTTTTTTAAAAAAAAAATGATTTAGGAAGATTAGCCCAGATAGATTAGAGGTAAAAAAAAAAAAAAAAGAATGGAGGAAGGGAAATGAGTTAAGAAGAAAACTTTAGGAATGCAGGATGGGGGACCATCAGAGGGTCTGCCACTCTCTAGGTGTCCAAAAACCTTGGGAGGTTGTATTCCTTCAACTCACCAGCATCACCTGCCTGTTTGGGTTTCTGTGAGCAGCAGTCACATGGCCCTTGGTTACTGATTAGCTGCAATACAGTGACGAATAAGAGGGAATACCTGAAAAATTCCAGACAGACAGATGAATGAAATATAAAAACTGAAATGAGAAAAAAAGATTTAAAAAGAACTGGGAGAAAATTATCAGGGGACTCCTTGATCTCAGGCACATAAAACAAAGCCTGACATCATAACAAAAGCAGATGATCTTCTGATAAGTCTTGCTTCCCTCTTAGTTCCCCCAGAATCACCTTGGGCTTCCTTATGGCACATCCTTGTGCATTTCTTTTTCCCTTCCTGCTCTTCTAACCAAAATCTCTGTCTCAGTGAGCTAATGTATTTGCACAACTTCCTCTGTACCCTGTCTTATTCTCAAATTT